TAATGAACTTGAATATAAATTGAACTTGACCATAGAGATCTGCTGCAAGAAGACAAGGTGTTCGAAAGGCAAAATCTTGTTGCAGGAATCGCTGAAGAGTAATTGAGATAACAACACCCTCAATCAGAAGTTTTCAACCTATGTGTATGTCAAAGGAAGATCAATCTAGTCAGTTCAACGTGGTAGATGGATTTGTTTTCTTTAGACTCAGTTATTTTTATTATAGTGATTTGCAATCGTTTGTATTTTCATCTTCGAGGTCTATTTTTCGGGAACATATCTCATGATAAGTGCTGAAAATAGCATTCCGGGGCCTCCAAATTTGAAAATTTTTTGGGGGAGGATAACCCCAGACTCACCTACAAGGCTCGTGCCTTCAGCACTCACGATAATGCCCCCCGTTACAAAAAACCTAGCACCCAGTAAAGAATCGGAATTAACAGTGATTAAATTGTATGATTATCAATAACTATCACTTCAAAAAAGATATAATAAGATAAAAGAACTGATCGATATACGGTCACTCTGGGGGAATGCGTGACGGGCCACAGTAATTAAATTATTTTAATTTGCGTAAACATATCTTCTTCTGCTGCTTCTTCCTCGTAAAAGAAACAGGCCTAAGGGGATTCTAAGTCATATATCGTTCGTGTTTTTCCGTGAAAAGAAGAAATACTTTTCCCTTAAAAATACAAAATACAAGTATTATATTTCCTGTCAATTTGTTGAAACGACGCATCTAAGGCTAATTTGCATACGGAGAATGAAGTCAAGTTCATCGTCGACAAGAAAAAAAACGAAGAAAAAGCAATTACCAAGTTTTCTTTACGTGTTTTCGAAAGTTCAACGCATTTAAAGGGTCTAATGACATTTGGTGATAACTAGAAACGTTAAAGCTGTGGAAATTAGTCGATCCGATGCAGACCGTTACAATTCCAGTTTTTCTGTCAAAATGGCGAATTTTGGAACATTAACGGAACTTTGTACAGCACGTAAAGAAGAGTGCCCACAAATTTTATTGCATTAAGAAGTAGACTGGTCTTAGTACTTCTGTTTTATCATAGACTTGAGTCTGGGTCAGGTGCCACTTTTGCGAAATTATCGTTCAACTCTAGTTATGCAAATTACTTTTCCTTCTGAGCAAATTAAAGGTCATTTTAAAAAAATCATATCTCAGCCAACTTTTCACAGAATGCAACCATTAAACCTTGAAACTATTAAACAGAGTTAAAACTTTTGTGTGTAAAATAATCAGCTTATTCGGCTCTGTAAGGTAGGTTTGACAGAGCCCTAAAGTTTCACCAAAATCGCACCAATTCCGAAGGCAAACTGACCAGTTTTAGGTGACCGAGAAAATCTTCTTGTAATATAGAGAAAAAATTGAGTTGGTCCAAATAAATGTGATATTTCTTCATGGGATAGGATAGTTATCTTCCAGTGGGAAAACCAGGGCAATCTGTGATAGACCGAAATTTGCCTTATTGGTTCTTACGCGGACAGCCTCTTAAGTTCTTAAATGTTCCGATATTATTAGCGGCACGAAACTGATTCGGAAGAGCGTTCCAAATCTTAGCTGCAGTATAACGCCACGATTTAAGTCCATAGGTGGTTGTATTTACTTTGGGTAGCTCGAGAATGAGTTTTCCTCTAAGATTATAATTAGTTGATCGTTCATGCAATAGCTCTCCTGTTCCTCTAGGGACTTTATACCCATGGATAGCTTTGTAAACACCGGCGGCCATTTTAACAATCCTTTGATTAAGTGGGGACGGTAGGTTTAGTTGTTTTAGCAACGTCTCGTACGTGGTTGACTTGTCAAGGGTCACAAAGCGAAGGGCTCGCTCATTGATTTTTTCAAGTTTGGCGCAACCTCTTTTACCACAGTGATGCCACGACTCTGAGCGGTAATTGAAATGCGGTGCAATGAAAGCACGATATATATCTATCCTCAATTCAAAAGGCAGTATTTTCTTCGAACGATTGAGAACAGCAACCTGTTGACTAACTTTACGACAGATTTTACGAATCTGTCCCTCAAACTTAAGCTTATTATCGATAGCGACGCCAAGGAGTTCCATTTCGTCTAGAATAGGGATAACGGTTCCTTCACAGGTCAACACAGGATTTCTCTCGACCCTTCCAAAAGTAGTTGCTTGATATTTTGAATGATTTCTTTTCATTTGATTGAATTCATACCACTCATCAACCTTTTTCAGATCGGCATTTATGGCATGTTCAACCTGGTCGATATCTTCCGCAGACTTAAACAATTGAGTGTCATCGGCATACGTGAATAATGTGCATTCATCTATAGCATAAGACAGGTCATTGATGAAAATATTAAAGAGAGTGGGACCCAAAATTGATCCCTGGGGGACATCCTTCATTATCTTTTTCATAGAAGAGTGTTGTCCACTCAATCAGACACGTTGCTGTCTGTCACTTAAATAATTCGTAACAAGATTGATAACTTTTGAGTGTCCACCGTAATCTTCAAGCTTTTTGACAATAAGATCATGGGGAAGGGTGTCATATGCTTTTGACAGGTCCATAGACACCAGACTAAAAACTTTGTGATTATCTAATTCTTTCTTGAATTGTTCAGTTAGACTAAGGATAGCTGTGTCGCACCCATGATAATCTCTACATGCAAAGACATTATTATGATAAACATCTTCAAAGTGTGAGGCAAGTCTTGAGTGAACGAGTTTTTCAAAAACTTTGGTTAAGACCGGCAGGATTGTTATAGGATGATAGTTTGTCTTTCTTAACGTACAGTCTTTCTTGTGGACCGGGACAATTTCACCTAGTTTCCAACTCGAAGGCACTTTTCCCCTTTTAAATAGAAAGTTCACTAAACAGCTGAAAGGCTGACATGGAATTTCAGCGGATTCTTTGACGGCTCGAGCTGGAAGTTGATCATGTCCAGTAGCTTTGTTTGTCTTAAGATTCTTCATAATTCTCTTCACTTCACCAGGGCTTGTGTTTGTTAAGGTGAAGGGGCGGTATTGATGAGCTTTTATTATCTGATAGGACTTTGGAGGCAATTGATTGAAATCAGGGTGCTGAGAACTTGAAAAATATTCTGCCAGTACCTCGGCGACTTTCTTTTGTTCTCTAATGACACCACCATTGTCTTTCAAAACAATACGCTCATTGTGGAAAGACTGCTTTTTCCTGGATGAAATATACGGTCTTATGTGTTCCAAAACTTCTTTTGATCTGACTGTTTATCATTGCAGATTCTGGAAAAGTGATCTCTTACTCTTTTTCTTCTCATGCTAACAGCTCTGTTTCTTAGTTGGCAGTATTTTTCCCAGTCTTCAGGCTTTCTGGACTTGTTGAACTGCCTTTTACAGCGATTACGTTCTCTCATCACTTCCCGTAATTCAGGATTTATAAATTGAAATTGATCGCGATGTTTTCGTCGAAACGATTTAACTGGAGCACGGTCATCCAGAACTTCAACGAACAATTTTTCCCAAGCCCAATATACATCTTCAGGGCCATCAAAGACGTAAGCCGTCGAAAAAGGAACCAAACTAAGTTCGCTACAAAAAGAGCCTTCATCAAAATTCTTGAAAGAGCGCACCCGGATAGTTTCGGCTTTAGGTTGCAGTAATTTCTTGTTTAGAACTGTATAAACTAGGCAATGATCACTGAGGCCAACCTCCAAAGTTCCTGATTCCCTGAAATAACCTGGAACATTCGTCAGGATAACATCTAAGCATGAAGAACGCTGAGAAGATATTCTTGTGGGTGAATTATTTAAAGAATCCAGAGCATAAATGTCACAAATGTCCAGCAGACATCTTCCTTTATTATTATTATTATCCAAAGGATTACTAATGTCACAATTAAAATCCCCCAAACAGATAATGTTGTTGCTCTGCGAAGTGGCTTTATCCAATAGACTGTACATGTTAGAAGTAAATGGAACATTATCCACAGAAGGGGGCTTGTACGCTGCTATCAGTGCGAATCGAGTTTGACCGATAGTTAAGTCTAGTAGTATTGCTTCCACAAATTTACATACTATCTTGATGGGCATTGCTATGATGCTATCACGTACAAAGATCATGACGCCACCACCGCCTTTCTTTCTATCTCGTCTGAAGATACTGTACCCATTTACATGGAACTGAGAATTAGGGAGAATTAGGGAAAGTGCTGTCAATTTTCGTTTCTTGAATGCAGAGAATGTCAAAAACCCCATCAACAAGCCATTCCTTGATTTCAATAAACTTGCTAGGAAGACTATTTACATTTAGAAGAGCAATTGTGCATTCCTTCTTGTTGGGTTTCCGTGGAAACTTGATCGTTGGTTCTCCGTGGGAGCTCATATTTTGAAGAGGGTTATCATTAGCTGGATCTTGTTCGATTATATCATCAACATTCGCGAAAGGTAGCTGTTGTAACAAATTTCCTATGCAAGTGGGACAATCCCAGCAGTAATTTGAGCAAGACAGAAGCTGTTTGTAGCGTTTCGCAGTTATCCCAGCGCACTTTATGTGAGTCTGTTGGCAACAACTATCACAAGTAATCGCTAATTGATTCTTCGCCACGGCACGTCCACAAACGAAACACTTCCTAGTGGTTTTTCCTGCAGTGGGTCCGGGGGTTGGGATTTATGTCACCACATAAGCTGAGAAACTCCAGATTAAAACTGGCGTCACGGTTGTTATAATAGTTTACCCTGCAACGAGTAAATCTTATACGCTTGATAAGGTGGATTCCATCGGCAGAGCAGCTTGATAAACATTTTGCTGTGGATTCTTGGACTTCCAACCTTCTCAGACTATAACTTCGGGAAAAAGAAAGGTTTAAGAATGACTGGAAATCAAGATTCCAGGGAGCAATGACACAGAATGAGGTTAAAAGAAAAATGTACACGGAGCTCTTCCAAACGTGTCCGACCGCCGTCACCGCCGACCGCTGTCTAACAAATACCGTAATTTGCCTATGTTTCACAAATACACTGGGGCATTAATTTGCCTGTGTCTAACAAATACACTGGGGCATTAATTTGCCTGAGTCTAACAACAACACTGCTGGCGCATTTATTTTCCAGTGTCTAACGAGTAAGCGTTTGAAGTATTTACTTCTCTCCAACAAATTTATTTAAGTAATCCTTTATCAATACAACGGCAACTAAGATTAAAAAGGCGTTTTAAAACTGAAAATTCCGGTGATGTATATTTCTTAACCAAGCCGGCACGAAACCTTTAGCCACGAAAAATATAACAGCAAAGAAAGAGTAGCCCTGTCCCATTGTTTTATTCTATTACATATCAGGCGTTCAAGAAAACTCGTATACCTTAATGAGGAAAATTTGCCGCTAAAACGTGTCAGGTTTAATCCGGCTTATAACACCTTCGTAAGGCTTGTCTTCTTTTTAGTGTGGTTCCTCTATAAAACGCGGACTGCGGACCGTGGATTGGGTATAAAACACGGACTAGGTATAAAACGCGGCTTTAGAAAGGAAAAACTGAGAGAAAGGGATAGCGGACTAGCATAAAACAGTAGTAGTCCCACCTCCTTTTGCCTCACACACACGCAGTCTACTTTTCCCAACGTCAGCGTCAGGTGGAGAAGGAAAGTATAATTATTACATGGACAAGAAAGGTTATGCCGCTACTCAAGGCAACTGAAAATGAAACGCTGAATTTTATAAAAAGGAGGAGTTAGAAAAGAATTCAATTTATATTTTTAAACCAGTAGAAGAAATGAAATTGAGCACCGAATAAAAAAAAATTGGTGTCAGTGAGAGTAACATTCTTAGAGATGCCACAATTCCATTTCACAGCCTTGGGATATGAAGAAATGAAGAACCCAGACAAGAAGATCAATATAGAGGCATTCCGCGATGGAATAAAAGCTATATTTAGGGGGGAGGAGGGGTTACTCACCTATACGTGAATAATAACCGAAATAAATCATCCAACGTTTATATATTCTAAGCGATGATGTCAGATGACATGATTTACACCTACACTGTATGTAAACATGTAGATCGCGTTTGTGACCCCTGTCATGGATGTTAGAGACCGAGACCAGGTCTAAAAATGGGTGTAGAAAATAGCATTTTGGTCAGGCTCATTTGGAGAACCGGGCGGCACACCTCCACCAAGAATTTCTAGGAGTATTTACTAATTTAAACTCACGTGTTGGCTATTTAGCACCGGGGGGTACTTTAGAAATTTCTGGGTGGGGATGTGCCGCTGGGATCCTGGAACCCTTAACCTATACCAGAGCTAGTTCAGCTGAATTTTGCTACCCTATACTAGAGTAAACTCCTCAAATCCCCCCTATCCTAGAGTAGCCGTTTTCCAGAAACTACCGAGGTCACTAGTACAGTCTAGCCAAAACAAAACCTTATACCACAATCCCTAATCTAGATAAAATCTTCAACCAACTGATCAGCTTCCTGAAAAATGATACCCTATTCTAGACCCAAACGCTCTGATTTATATACCCTATCCTAGAGTAAACTGCTTGAAAACCATACCCTTCACAGCGGCACATACCTATATAGCCCATACATGGTAGTACCGCCCCCCCCCGGGGATTTAGCGATCTTTTGACCTTATTTTACCTAACCCAGAACCAATTAGCACAGTCTTTACCAAAGTAGTCCGTAGTCCGCATTTTACAGCTAGTCCGTGTTTTATACCCAGCCCGGCGTTTTATACTGACCACTGAATATACTACAACATGTAACACTGCAACATGAATCATGCAGAAATTCTGCTGAATTAGTAATACGCGTGGTACGAGTAGGTTAATTAGAGTTCGGATAATAAATTCGAATTCCCCGCTAACTTAAGCCTGCGCAAAACAGCCGTCTCTAGTCTCCTCGCCTTTAGAGACATATCGAGGAGCGAGAAAAGAGTGGAAAGACGGCCGTTTTAGTAGGCTAGAGTACACTAAATTTTGCTCCTCTAATCAGCGTTTACCCGGAATTCTTAACTTTAATTCGGCTTCTTGCAGCTCACCACTGATGCTAAACGCTAAAACGATCGACACTAAAGTTACTTGATTTCGAATTACTGGGGTTCTACTCTCAAGTCGACTCTTACTCCATCAATTCGTACCAACATTACGGTCGATTCGTAGCCGTATTCCAGTCGATTCGAACACAACTAACAGAGTGAAAAGAATACAACTCAGTAATAATAATAGCACGCTTAACGTTTAATATTCCTCGAAGTTCAAGCCACGAGGCAAAAAATTCCAGTGTGAATTATTATTTTGGATGGTGTTATATCCGGTTCGGTGCGCATGCGTAGTAGAGGGCGGGATGTTGTTCTGTTGTTCTGTTAGCTGTCTTGCAACACTGCTTTCTTGTTACAATTTACATGATTGGCTAGTTATAACATTTTGGCAACGAGGATGGGATCCTTTTCGAATTCGTTGTGATAATGGCCATTCTTATTCTTCACTGTATCAGGGGCACCCACAGTCAATTTTCGGAAAATATCTGTTCGGAAGACAATTTCAGATCTAGAATTTTCGGAACATTTCTTGTGAAATTTCTTGCTTCCCTTCCCTCCTAGGATTTTCGAACACCTAAAAACGGATAACTGCCCATTTTAAAAGGATTTTTACCCTAAAAAGGTCACCTAGAATTGTCGGGAGCCTTTTTTATAGCTGAAATTTTCGAAAAGGTCAGTTTTGATCCCTATAATTTTCGGATCGCTAGACTTTGAGCTAGGAAATCCGAACAGATGAAAAATTTTTAGGGGATAAAAATATGCCAATATCTACCGTTTAAATACTAAAATACGTTTAACAATGCTATGTTTAGGTGGTTTTGAACTATTTTCTCGTTGGGTGTCCCTGACTGTACGACGTTATTCTGTGTTCGGTTCTTCAATACATTCGCGCACGTGTTTGCCTGTCCATTTGTGGTTTTCATCATGGCTTCGCCCGCGCTGCTTGGCTCCGTTGGTCCGTCTACTGAGACATTCACCGCCTATTTCAAAAGACTGGAACAATTCTTTGAGGCTAATAGTATTAGCCATTATCCTGCTGATGCTACAGCAGCTGTTATTCAAGCGGGCCAACTCGAGAGATGAGACCTTTGAGGTGTTACGTGATTTATTGCAGCGACATTTGTAAGGAACAGTATTCCGTTACTGTGCATGTACCAAACTTTGATTATCTGACAGGATGTCGCGAATTCAAAAGATGCGAGGAGAGTAAGAGAACCTTGAAAAATCCGTTTGCATCGCACTTGGCCGTGTTCGATACTAACAGATCAATGATATATTGTTCCCGTTAAGTTTCGATTGGGCGAAATCGGGATTTTTTGGCGTTACTTTAATTGCCGTTGGCTGGAGTACCAAGAGAAGGGAAGCGCTTTAATGTCATTTGAAGGCTTATTTCTCCCGTCAGCTTCCAGACAAGCTCAGATAACCGTGAAAGGAATACGCAGAAATGGAACAGTAACAATAAAGACTATGTAAGAAAGAAACCATTGAGACATGGATGTGACTGAGGAGATCTTGTGGAATTAAGCTTCGTGAAGCACAATGTTTTGCAACGACGTGTTAGTTAACTTTTAAATAAACCTCCAACGGCCGATTTAACCAAACAAACAGGCACTACATGTTTAGAGAAACGAGTGCAATGAAATCCATTACAAGCCGTAGGCTCGATTTTCGGGGGATAGCGACGTTCAACGTCGCGATTTTCGCATATTTCTGATGGGCGAGGCGCCAAGTTTATTGTTTTGAACCCAGGGTTATATTACATTAAGAGACCCTGAGCCGTGTCTTTAAGGTGTCAATAATGTTCGTTTTATTGAGCAATCTTTCATCTTTGACACTTAATCCCGTTTATCTTAAGTGGACACCCAACGAAGTTGTTATTCACGTGCACTGTCGAAAGCATAATATCAATTAGTATATACACACTCAGTGATCTTGGTGATTTAAGCAATCTGATTGGTTCGCTGTCTCGGACTATTCAACAATATTCACCTCCTACCGAGTAGATAATGTGTGAGCTCAGTTTTTTCCCATTTTCTTAGAGAAATATCTTTTGAAAGTCGACAAAATTCTAGGGTTGACTTTTTTTCAGGCAAGAAAAGACTTCGAAAGATTCATTTACTGTTGTTGAGTTTTGTGGTCGATGGATTGTTTACAACTCCCGTTTATTCGCCTAGAAGAGGCCGTTTCGTGAACTCAGCGTTTCCTAACAAGAAACATTTGGCCCAAAAACGAAGTTTATTTATGACAAACAAATCTGAAAGCAAATGTTTGCAGAAATTCTACGTTTCAAGTAAACACGAGAAAGAATGGTTCTATTAGTAAATATGCATTTCATTAAGGGACTTAGATTATTTTCCATGTGATCTAGCTGCGTACAGGGTAATTCCGATGGTCCATTGGTACCAATGGTACGATTGGTACCAATAGAAAAGGCCATCATTGGTGAATATGCATCCCATGAAGGGGACTTAGATTATTTTTTATGTGATCTCGCTTGGTACAGGGCAATTCTGACGGTCCATTGGTACCAATGGTACGATTGGAATATAGAAATGCACATTCTTGCATGACGTAAGCCGAACCAGGTGGAGGCATGCAACGGATGCGTCCGCACCTCCAAAGGTCTACAA